CTGGTCACCTGATGCTTCTGCCCTGTTAATGAAGTCCCTGGGTTTCAGTTTTCCCTCCCAATCCTCACTCAGAAACTCAAAGTTCAATAAAAGGTATCAGGCAGACACAGCTACTGGCCATGGTGATATCTGTCCCTGGAACTGTATGACCAGGAGCCTGGGGAGCCCTTCCCACCGCAAATCAGCTAAAACAAGGAAGACTGGGTTCAGGGCAGGAATGGCTGTTCAGGAGGCTGGGGATGGTTTGGGCATCACATCCTTACTTGTCCACCAAGCAGAAGCCAGTTTCACTTTTGAGATGGGGCTGTGTCAGCAATGACCAGTAACTAACACCCAAGAGCACATTGTCCCCAGCTGGCCCAGAACCAGACCTCAGTCCTCATGCTAGCTGACCACTGGGCTCCAGCACCCAACATTCAGCATTGTTGATTGTAACTCCTGCCCCATACTCCAGGATCTCACAACTTGTGAGGGGCATAGGAACATTGAATCCTCCCAGACTGGTCATAACAGGCTAGGATGTGGGGAGGAGCTGACATACCGGCTCTAACAGGCACCTGTTGTGTCCACTCTGGCTTTCCACCTACCAGCAGATCACACTGGGCAGGATACATCACTTCTCAGGACCTGATATTTCCCATCTATAAAATGGGGCAGCAATAGTACCTACTTTGTGGGACAATTGTAATGGTTAAAGAGCCTAGGACAGGACCTGGGAACCTGAGTGGCAACTATTTCTTTGAGCTGGGTACTATGCTAGGACAAGGAGATGAAACCACACTGAACAAAACAGACATGGCGTTCCTCCTGAAGTTTCTAAGGAGACAGGCACACATCAAGCAGGGGCAGGACTGGGTGCTCTGAAATGATGGGGGAGGGGTGCAGTGAGCAGGGAAGGCTTGAGGAAGCATATGAACTAGAGCCTGGTGAGTGAGAGGCAGTTATTGATTTAAAAAAAAATAAAAGTACCCAGGCAGAAGGAACACAAGCTACCAGCCACAGAGACAAGTCTGGCCCTCTGCCTGTTCATATAAATAAAGTTTTATTGAAATACAGTCCATTCATTTGTTTACATACCATAGCTGCTCTTTCAACTTCACAGATCCACAAAACAGTAAAGATTTATTATCTGGTCCTCTCCAGAGAGAGCTCTCTTGTTGGTAATGAGTTGCCCTCTGAGAGTTCATTCTGTAATACCTGAAGAGGCTGCTAGACCCCTTCCAGAGAATCCTCCACAGAGATCTGGAAACCAGTAGGATTGGTGCCACTTTGTGACCATGGGAAGGAAACGTGTTTGGAAAAGAACCATGGTTGGTAGTTCTCAGAAGCAATCAGACATGTAGGAAACTGACCCCATGGATCCCAGAAAAAAAAGGGCAATAATTATGTCAGTATACAGAGTCTGTAAAATCCTTGTCCCTTTCAAGACCTCTATTTACTAATTATAAAGTAAACACAGAGCTGAGAATATAGCTCTGGGGCAGAGGGCTAGCACATAATTAATTCAGTAGTACCTAAAAAATAAAGGAAAACAAATGAGCATGACATCACTATGGGCATTTAAAACCCTCTGTAACAAAAAGTAGAGATCTGTAAAGGAGATGGTGCCCAAACTGCTTCTGAGGGTCAGCCATGTGAGCTCAGATTGGGTCGAGCCCTCAGCACCCACACGATGGGAGTGTTGCTGTTCACACGCGTCTGTGTCCTGCTTTTCCCTTGAGGTGTAGGAAGTGCTTTATAAGTACACACCCGAGCATGGTGACAGTGCCTGCATCTCATGCAATTTCCTCACAAATCCATCTCTCTCCTCTGTCCCTCCCTTCCTCCATCCCTCCCTCTCTTGTATTTTGAAGCTGGGGCTCACTCTGTAGACCAGGCTGTCCTCAAACTCACAGCCTCCTTCTCCATTTTGAGGGCCGGAATTAAAGGTGTGTGTCACCAGGCCTGGCTGGGTTTGTTTATTTTTTACATAGAGCCTTGATTCCTAGTCCTGGCTGTCCTGGATCTCCATTCATAATTCAAGCTGAACTTGAATTTACTGAAATCCTCCTGCCTCAGCCTGAGAATGCTAGAATTACGTGTGTGCTACCACACCTAGCTCCTCAAATCTCTTATGCAAACAATTGTTGCTGTAGTCTACCGGGGATTTTGAATCTTGCCAGGCTCCATTTCTAAAAAGCAAACTGGTGGCAAAGGCCTGCAGTCCCAGCTGTGTGGGAAGTAGGATCATGAATTCAGGAATTGCCTAGGGCCACAGAGTGAGTTCAGAGCCAGCCTTGGGAATTTAGGAAGCCCCTGCCTCAACAAGGACTGGGAGTAGAGTGCTTGCCCAGCACAAATGCTTGATAACAGGTACCTGTGCACCTTGAATGACTGAAAGTGTGCTAAAAGGTAAGCTGAGACATACGAAAAAATTTTGGAACGTTTACTTAAACAATGATACATAAATTATGAAGCTCAGGGCTTGTCAAGACGACTAAAGGCACATGCCAACAAGCTTCATGACCTGAGTTCAATCCCCAGGACCCACATAGTAGGAACAAACTGACTTAAAAGTTGCCCTTTGACCAGATGATGGTGGCACACGCCCTTAATCCCATCACTTGGGAGGCAGAAGCAGGTGAATCTCTGTGAGTTCGAGGCCAGCCTGGTCTACACAGTGAGTTTCAGGACAGCCAGGGCTTCACAGAGAAACCCTGTCTTGAACAACAACAA